AAATGTTAGGTAAAATCCATGGTAAAATAAAGACCTTTGCGATAAATAATACCGAATTGACAAAAACAAAGTCATTAAATATTCACCGTCGGTGGCGTCATACTCGTGTATCATGTACATTTATGCATTACTTGATACGAGTATATGACGAAATATAAATAATCTATCATTCACAAATGGCTAAAATTATCCACATTTTCAAAAAAGGGTCTCCATAGTTCCTCGGACATTACAGACCAATTTTTAGCAATATTGCCTGTGTTAAGTAAAATTAATGAAAAAACACAAATTAGTTTCTTTTCCTAAATTAAATGGTCCGTGGTGGTTGTCCCACGGCGCGTGTTTGAATTTCATATAAACAAACAAATGTAGTTTACATTTGTTGTGAACGTCACCATGATTCCCATATCGAACAGGACGCGGCGCGACGACCACCCCCCTTTAATGATCTTCCTTCTTTTCCTGTTGTAAACTCGTCACTGATGATTCCAATCCCTTTCACTTCGACAAAAACTTTCTAAATGTCCCTGAAATTAATTCTAACCTAGTAATGATGGTGAGTGGTGTGAGGCTAACAAACTGACTGTAAATAACAGCAAATCTCACTACACATTATTCTCAACTTCCAAGAAACAGCCAAGCAATTTTCAAAATGTCAAAATGAACGACACCAATCTTCAGGGAGTTGATACACCTAGAAACCTATATTCTACCTAAGATTAGTCCCGTAATTGGGTTATTTCAAATTTACGTCACCTCCCAAAATTTGTTTTAATCTCGCTCTACGATTCCTTAACTCTACCGCACATTTCGCATGGTTTAGAAATATGAAGCAGCACGTATACTACATACCTCGACTCAATTCACAAGTCTTCAGTGAAAACGAACACATATCATACTTTTTAAAGGTAGAAACACACACAACTAACCTCTATAAAACTCTCTGCAAATCCTAAATATACTGTGGAATACTTCATTTTCGCTGAAGAATTTATACAGTGAAAATAAAATCCATTGAATATACCTTTTTCCCCATATTTTACATTAAACTCGACAAAAATCAGTGAAAATAAATTCCATACAAAACACCCAAAAAGCCTTTTCAGCGAAAATTAATTCCAGCTAAAATAAAGTATTTTACATTACATGATCAATTAAATATCAGCTTTGCACATTTATACATGATCTGTACTCTAATAGAATCTTTCGTAATTTCTCTTTATCTGGACATAACAATAAATGTTCTCTTCCTAGAAAAGAACCCCCCCCCCCCGTCCCAATTTTCTACCGGAGAAATTCAGCATCTCATATACCGGTAAATCTGGTACTACGGTATACCATTTAATTATGACACGCCCTCTAGCATTCATATTAAGTAGCAATGACCTAATGAGATTAGACTCGAGAATGCAAAGGCTCATAGGACGAGGTGACTGTCACTAGAGGGCGCCAAATATAAAAAGGGTGTAAAACCCTAGGATGGTTTATGTAATAAAGTACACTGCTTTGAATAGTTGTGTGCAAAAAAACGTGAAGAGAAGAGAAACAGCAGTGACAATCACTTTTTAAGATTAGTCAAGTTGTATAATCTTTTTCAAAATGTATACCAGGAAACCCAACACAAAATTACTTTTCCAAAACAATAAGTTACACCTCTCAGATATGAATCATATTCAAATTTGAACAAATACAATACTAGACTTGTCTGCCCCACTTAGTGAAATATGTGGACTGATCTGAATAGTGTGATGCATTCCCAACCTTCAGTTTGGGTAAACTGTGATGCATAATGAACTTGGCATTGTGAAATCAAATATAAATCTAGTTGTCGACACATCCAGTGCATCGCTACAGGTTCTTGAACATATATTAACATATATTAACACATATTAACACATTTCCGTTCAACACAGCTAAATAATTTGTTGATATATTCAAATGAATGTGTAACTCTTTGAAAAAACTTTGTGATTCACTGGTCTAATATGACAACAAGAATCATCTACATCTAGCAGCACTGAAAGCCTTGATAAGGCAAAAAAAGTGTTTCGCAAAGTTGCAAGTACTGTAAAATCTGTATTAGAAGCTGTAGCTTCTATTAAAATGGTACATTGCAACATAGGTAGGTGATGTGGCTTCTATTAGAGCATCTACATGTGCATGTGTAGAAATGTTTAGTTCTCAATTGTTCAAAAAGAATGGGTGAGACTTCTATTAGAGATGTGGCTTATAATACAGATTTTACAGTAATATTGCCAACCGACTCTTCAAATAATTTTCAGAAAAACTTTAATGTGTTAACAAGCGATAGGAAACTAAAACCGTCTTTGAATATCAAATGAAAACTACCAGACAATTTGAAAGTTTAATTGTCTTTATTATAAAAAAAAATATTTCGGAATTAGAAAATAATGTAATAACTGTATATACAAATATTCTACACACCTGATTATCATACATTATTAGATATATTGTATATTTATAATATTTACAGTGTAAATAAACACTACACAGGGGAGGGGCGAGTAAAACCCAGATACATTAAAGTGTTTGTGATTTAATACATGCCTTCACCTTCATGCAGACGTTAAACATGCATGGTTTTGAATAAAATAATCCAGGATATTTTGTGGTCAAGTGAGAGTAGTATTGACCTGTGTCACATGTATTCATAATTCAATATGGCAACCATATTGAAATTTCGACAAGATTTGATAACCATTATTATATGTGATTGTTTGCTAGAGTGGAATTCGTGTACTGTATATCACCCAAAAGGCATGTAATAAGAATATCACTGACTTTAATAATACAGGAGTTTGTGTCCTACTGCAATGATAACATTCAGCTTCTGATGTTGTGCAAATGATCTTCTGTGTTTGGACAAAAACTCCCATATTAACCAGTAATATATAAAAAACATAAAATGTTGATATTTGACCACAGATGTCAAAGTTCTTGAAAACACAGTCTTTGTTAAGACTGCAGGAATTAAGATAGACTAACATTATACCATTTCAAAGTTAGTGCTATTCCTGTGAAACAGACATCACTCGGCCATACAAGGATGGATTCAAATGCAAATGCATGTGTTTCATTTGGCGATGTGCTATCAAGCAAAGAGCTCAGAACATAGTGGTTGGTACACGGTAAATTTACACTTTGATAAATTGTCTTCAGCATAAAATAATAAGTAATTGCATTACATAGTCACGGTGAAATATCAAGTTTAAAAAAATATAACGTTCAAATATGAACAGTCATGCCATGTCAAGAATATGGCCCCAGAACAGCATTTATTATAACAAAGTGGCTGCCAGTCAATCATTTTTAATTTATTCTAAAAAAACAAAATGATGTGCATCATGGTCCCATTATGTATTTAACAAGTTTCAACAAAATTGATCTGTACACGACCAAAAATCAGTTACAGAATAGCAGAAATACTTGATTTTGATGAATTTCCAACATTAAAATGACTGCCATTCAGCCATCTTGGATCTCATCATCAAACGAATACACATGTATATGTGTAACATCTTGTATGATGTATATATAAAATTGGAACAAAAAGTTAAAGCATGTCAGAGATATGTATGGCTATGAACAAAATTCATATATACACCACCAAGATGTGGTTCTGTAATGGTAGAAAATTAGTTTATTTTGAAGAATTTTTTGCACAAAAATGGCCACCATTCAGCCATCTTGAATCTAAATGCCAAACAAATCAATGTGCATATGTATCCCAAGATGTATAATGTATGTTCAAGATACAGGAGTGGACACATGGACGCCATCCCAATAGCAAGAGTACTTCTGTTAGTCCCAAAATATTGCTAAAAGTGGCATTCAAATGATTTAAACTCTTCAAATATTGCAATACTGTGATATACAATACAGTAAACACATGTCAAATTCTTATTTCCTAAAATAATATTACCCTTATGATGGCACTCCACTGTTTCTAGCCCCAATTATTGCCGTACATGTATATGGCACTTCACTATTTCTAGTCCCTAGAATTGCCATATATGGCACTCCACTGTTTCTAGTCCCTAGAATTGACATATATGACACTCCACTGTTTCTAGTCCCTAGAATTGCCATATATGGCACTCCACTGTTTCTAGTCCATATTATTGCCAACTGTTTCATTCTCAATTCCATATACATCATAATTCATTTTCTAGACATTCATTTGTCATTTGTTTGTGCCTTAGACATTCATCACCCAAACTAGAAAAAAAATAAAATTGCATCGAAGTGAAGCAAACTATATAAAAAATAATAAATAACTTCAA